TTCACAGAGTCTAGTTCCCTGTAGTTTCAGATTTAGTCTAACTTCTTAAAAGTACATATAAAATGTTAACCTTGCAAAAGACAGGAAACTTTCCCCAGGCTAAAAGACTTTGTTGTAAGATAAAGAATTGTAACACAGCAAGGTTGCTGGCTCAAGGACAGACAAGTTACTTGATTGATATGTAAAGATACTGGGAAATTACTGTAGAGAAAAACAGTGTTTGCTAAGATCACGCTTTTGTTGGTGGATAGACTTAACCTTTTGCAAATTGCATTATGGAATGTCACTTTGCTTGTTACCAGCCTCTATTGTTAAACTATTACCCCACCTATGTTCTTTTTCTGTAACTTCCTGGCCTGGAAAATAAATGTGGGGAGAGAACCCCAATTCATGGTTAATTTCCCAAGGAAGGAATGCCTTGCTCTTGAGGGTTCCGGGAGATTAACCCCTTCGGGGTCTCTCACTGCTCGGAAGAGATGGGCTTTGAGTAATCCTTTTGCAGTTCTACCACCCAGGGGAAGAGAGGTGATAAATCCGTGTGAGGCAAAGCAACATAAAATAACGTGGTATTGGCACAAGAATGGACAAAATGATCAATGGAGAATAAGAGAGAGTCCAGAAACAGATCCATACATAAAAGTACCCTGATTTATGCCAAAGGCAACACTATAGTTCAGTGGGGAAAGGATGACCTCTTCATTAAATGTTCCAGGTCAACTGGACATATGAGAAAAAAATATGTAGATCTTTACTTGATAAAAACCAGTTCCAGATGGATGGCAGATCTGAATGCAAAAGGTCAAATAAATCTTGTAAAGAAAATATCTTTGTGACCTTAGAGAAGACAAATATTTCTTCAAAAGTACTAACCATAAAAGAAAAAGGTTTAATTGGATTATAAGAAAGTTAAGAGCTTCTGTTCATTGAAAAACACTACTCAGAGAGTGCTAAAGTCACATACAGCTCAAGTTAAGCTATCTGAGGTACATATACCCAGCAAAGGACTTGTACCCAGTGTATATAAAGAATTCCTTCAAACCAGTAAGAAAAAGACAACCCAATAGAAAAATATGTAAGAAAAAAAAAAAAAAAGAGGCAGAATTAATCATCTTAAATATTTTGGGCCGGCCCGGTGGCGCACTGCTACAGTGCACCGCTTGGGAAGTGCGGCGGCGCTCCCGCCGAGGGTTCAGATCCCACATACAGACCGGCCGCTCACTGGCTGAGCGAGGTGCGGGAGCAACACCGAGGGTTGCGATCCCATTGCCGGTCCCGGTCCGGTACGGGCGCGACACTGAGGGTTGCGATCTGTTGCCGGTCACGAAAAAAGACAAAAAGGAAAAAAAGAAAAAGAAAAAAAGAAAAATATGCAAGAAACCTGAAGTGGCTTCACAAAAGTGGATATACAATTGACCAGCAAATATACTGAAAATCTTAACTTCCTTATCAGGGAAATACAAATTACAACCATAAGGAGATAACCAGGACATGGCCACCAGAATGATAATAAGAAAAAGACTGAAATTAGAACCTGTTGGTGAGGATGTGGAAAAACAGGAATTCTCATACACAGCCGGCAACAGTATAAATTAGTACAGCCACTGTGGAATAATGTTTGGCAATATCTACAGAAGGTAAATAGTATTTTCTATAACACAGAAATTCTACTTCTAAATATATACCCAACAGAAATATGTTTAACAAAATACATGTTAAAAGGTTCACAGTAGAGCTATTCATAATAGTTTCAAACTGGAAACTACCCAATGACTGTTAGCAGAAGAATGGATTAAAAAATGTCCGGCCAGCCACACAAAACAAAACAAAAACAAAAATAAAAAATGGCCATATATTTACATGAAATAGTACGCAGAAATAAAAATGCTCATATAACTATAAAGATGGATATCACAAACAAAGCCAGAGAGCAAAATAAGCCAGACTCAAAAGAGCATATAAATGGAATTGCAGTATGCAAACAATAAAAATAGACAAACTAATCTAGGCTAATTATTATAAGTCTGAATAGTGGTTATCTTTAAGGCAGGGAGTAGTGACTGAAGAGGACCTGGAAGGAGCTTCCAGTGTGCTTGTGATGTTCTGTTTCTTCATGGGTGCTGGTTACATGAGTGTGCTCAACATGTGAAAACACATCAATCTACACACTAACGATTTATGCACTTTCCTTATGTATATCATACTGTAATAAAAATTATGTATACGACAAAAAGCAAATAAATTAAACAGCAAACTGGAAAAAATTTTCTACAAGTATGATAAAGGCTTAGTAATATATGAAGAACTCATGCAAATCAATTTTTAAACAGCTAGCATAAAATAGGAAAATAGGCAAAAAATATGAAGAGAAATGCTCAAAGAAATAAAAATGGCCAAGAAATGTAAATCAGAGCAACAGAAAGCTATTTTTGACCATCAAATTAGCAAAGATTAAAGAAAACTAATAAGGCTGTTGCTGGGGATTTGGTGAAACTAATACTTATTCCTAATGGAAATGTGAATTGGTATAACCTTTCTCCGTAAGTCCTAAAAAAATATTCATATCCTTTGACCCACTGATGAGTGCTTTGAAACAATCTAATTATCCAATAATTGGAAAGTGGTTATATTACGATACCTATACGTGATGAGACAGTATATTACTTTGAAATTTTGAAATACAGTATATTTCTGGTCTTGATCCCAGTTCCTGTCCCTTTCCTGCCATACAACTCCTAAAATCCTTAGAATCTCCCAAGTGCTGTCTTTTTATATACTAATGAGTTGACAGTTTCAGGATGGGGGTCTCACTGGAAAGACCTAGGCAGGACTAGAAGGTTGGGAAGTTCAGCCCACCCCCAAACCTCCAGGGAGTGGAGAGGGGCTGAGGGCTATGTTGATTACTAATGGCCAGTGATTTAATCAATTATGCCTACGTAATGAAGCTTCCCTAAAAACCCAAGAGGCCTGGGTTCAGGGAGCTTGGAGATAGCTGAACCTGTGGAGATTTCTGGAGGGTGGCCCCTAGGGAAGCTCCACACCCCTTCCCCGCCCCCTAGCTCGCTCTATGCATCCTTTGCAATAAATGAGTAAAAGTGTTTCCCCGAGTTCTGTGAGCCACTCAGGAAATTAATCAAACCCAAAGAGGGGGTTGTGGGAATCCCAATTTATAGTCATTGGGTCAGAAGCAAAGGTAAAAATAACTTGTAGCTTGTGATTGGCATAAGAAATTGTGGTGGGGGGCAGTCTTGTGGGATCTGATGCTATCCTCAGGTAGTGTTAGAACACATTTGAATTAAAACACACTCAGCTGGTTCCTGCTGCAGAACTGGTTGCTTGCTAGCTGGAGGGAAAAATCCCCATATATTTTGTCACAGAAGTCAGAAGTCTGTCTTCTGTGGTGATTGTTGCTGAATAAGAGTATAGGAAAAATAGGAAAAACACCGTGTTTTTTTATATTGACTCAAAAAGAGTCTAAAACAACACATACCATACTGTTAATAGTGGCCATCTTTGGGTGGTGGTATAATGGATTATTTTCATTCTTTGGCTTATTATCTACAATCAAATGTTCTTTGAGCATGTATTACTATTATATTCGGAAATCGAAGAAAGTAATAGGGTAAAAAAATACATCCACCCAGTTTCCCGTACTCTGGAAATCTATGCGACGTAGATTTCTGTCTCTCCTTCAACTCCCACGTTCAATCTGTAACCGTTTCCTCGATTTTACTTTAGAAATGTAGGTCCAAGCCATTATTCCATTATATCTTCTCTCATTTCCAAAATTCAGGCCCTTGTCTTCCCTAGTGAACTCCTCACATCCAGATTTTTCGTTTCGGTAAAATGGCCACATTTTCCACTACTTCTACATTTTAGCCACATCAAACCACTTTACATAGCAACCCTACACACCCCAGCCACTAAAAACGCACACCACGTACTTTCTCACCTCCCAGCTTTGGTATGCTCAGTTCTCTTTCCCTGTAATAAATTTTCTCCCTTCTGTCTTTCAAATCTGATTCATAGTTTAAGATTCAACTCGGGTATCATTTACTGTTGTACCCTCTTGGAGGCCGCAAGAACAGACGGCCGTTTCCAAATAAATCCTCCAGTGACAGTCTGTCCATATTTCAACATTTAACATTCTGTCCCGATAGTGCATCCCTCCCGTTGTACGGCATGGGCCATTTCTTTATTTTAAAAGTTCTTAAAGTCTAGTTGGATTAGCGACAGTAAAACCTACATATGCAGTGCATTTATATACAGAGGTGTGAGTTTTGATCTGTATCTGATAGAAAAATGGCATCAAAAACACTCGCCTGATTTTTTTCATTCAAGATGGCAGAGAACATCTTAAAATAGTCCCACACAAAAGCAGTCACCTTCATAGCCTCAAGTCAGAAGAAACTGGCTACACCTAGCACAATAGCAAAGGACAAAAGAATCCCACCTAGATGCTGAGATGCCCCGATCCTAGCCACCCACGGTAGGTCCCACATACAGACTTTAAACCTTCTTAGAAAACAGGCACCTGCTGCCTTCATTACGAGAGCCACGCCTTGACAGTGAACGGTGACTTGAGGCAGGCACTTCTGGATACGACCCAAAAAATCGAGGGCAAAAAATGGGGAGGCTAAACTGCATAAGTGAGCATGTAAAATGCACAATTCGGCCCCGCCCCAGCCTGGCGCACTCCCCCGCCGGCACATCCATCCCCAGGGAAGGAACAAACAGGTCTCCCGCTCACGGGCCTGGCAACCCGGCCCCGACTGACAATTCTGAACGCTCCTGAGGCAGAAGCTGGCAACGGCCAAGGCAACTCGGCATACACCTGTCAGGCTGCGGCAGACACTAGGCCCTGAAATCGTGGGGGTTCAGTGGCCGAGGCCTGCAGGAGCCAGTCACTCGATCACTCGCCCCGGGATCACCTGGCCTCCTCGCTTTCCCTCTTGTCCTTTTCAAACAAAGGCAATCCACACCCACCGCCATTTTCCCGTTACCTCAAAAACCACCTCTTCGTCAAACTCCGGTGTCATCCTTCTCCGCCATGCCACCCACCTCAGCACGATGGGAAATGAAGGCGGGAGAATAGGCTGCACGGATGCTTCGGCTTCTGCCTGTCCCGTGGGTCCAGAAAACTACAATTCCCAGCATGCCTCGCCGCTCACGCCCCCTTTTTAATTACGCTCATTGGAGCAGAGGGTGAGCGTGTGGGCGGGAGGGGCGGGAGCGAGATTATGCTCGAGCCCTTCGATTGGAGGAGGCTGGGGCTTTTGTCTGCCTTTTACGGACTCGACTGGCAGGGGGCGCTTGGAGCACTGATTTTTTTGGAGATTGAAAGGTGCACACGCGGGCGCCACCGCGAGCGCTCCGCTGCTCGTGCCCGCGCCTGGCTGTCGGCCCGCCGGCTGCTCGCGCCCGGGAGCGCGGCTGGGTCTCCGGAGCCGGCTGTCTCCTTTGTGCGGCGCTCGAGTTGCGCCGCCGTACAGCGGGACAGTATGTGGGCACTGCGAGGGCTCTTCTCTTCTGCCCCAACTCTGGAAACAATGGACTGAAAGGGGAACATGGATTGAGGGGCGCGAGCGGGGAAGCGAGCTGTACGGGGGAATCATGACTTCTGCCGCTGGTAAGTGACGGCGCTCGCGCTACCGCTGCAAAGTTTGTAGCGAGCGCTGCTAGGCTGGAACTAGCCACTTTCTCCGCGGCGGGTGGGCGAGCGTGTGCCCTCTGCCTTTCCCCGCCACCTCGGCAAGTGTGGAGCATGGGGTTTGCTGCCGGATTTGCTCGTCCTTTCCTGCCGAGACGGCTCCTGGAAATGGTGGATCTCTCGGAACTTCCCTTCCAAAGGAGACCTGCACTGCTCTTGGCGCCAGGTGAAAAGCAAAGTGTAAAGAGGGCATGTGTTCATCTCTTCTACAGTGGGAGCGACTTTGCTTGTGCGTGTGAAAATAGTGTAGGTTCCCATGTGAAGAAATCAGTTATTCTAGAAAAGGACAGTGTTCCCAGCGTGTTGAACCCGGTGACTCTGCTGAGTCGCCTTAAATCTAGGATAGGCTGGAAACACCCGTGTAAAATAAAGAGGTTTAGACGTTGTTACTCATGTCCTGGTGGTTTTACTCGTTACCTGAGAAGCTGATGGCAGTTTTTCTTTTGCTCATCTTCACCCAGTTTCTTATGGATTCCCCCTCCCCCCCCATTTCTACCTGGCTAGTGTGAACAAAGCCTTATTTTCTGTCTGCCTCCCATAGTCCTTTCCCCCTCATCCAAATAAAGCCTGTATTTCTGTGCAGATTTTTAGCAACTCTATCAAAAGAATTACTAAAGTGCGGTTACATTTACTTCATAAGAACATAGGTTAATTTTAAAACCAGAACTTAATAATGTATTAAGTATTCAGGGTTTTGTTTTTTTTACGGTTTTGTCTATCTTGAAATAAACAGGCTTTCATTTGAAATTTTATAGTAGAATAGCTTAAAACTTCCCCTCAAAGTTACTTCTAGAATCAGCACTTGATCAGATTAAATTTGCATGGCTTTTTTTGTCATTTGTTTAAAATTCCTGCAACTTGAAACTGTCAAACAGCGCTCTAAGTGGTCTGATTTGTATAATTTCTAAAGCCTAGACATAGTGGAGTGTTGCATTGCTAGGTGTAATCAGATTACAACCAAAGAGGCAGGAAGTTAGCCAATAGAAATAAGAAAGCAAGGTGTGAAGTACTCCTGTAGGAGATGTGACTCTTTCCTTTTTGATGTTACATGTTTGTGTATGAGATGTCGTCATACACTGTTGTAGTTATTTATAAACTCTCTTTTCCTTACCAAAGGGAGGCTTTCCATTTATCTAATGAATTATATAATTCATTCTAAGTTTCTGTGCCTCACCTTTGTTTAAGTTTTCTTTACTATTGAACCAATATAATTAAGTTAAAAGTGGTTAGAAATTCAAAAATCTTTCCAGCCAATTGTAGTCCTTCCCTTCTTTGGGGTGTCAAATGTATTTAAAATATTCATACCTTGTATGTTTCAGTTTTCCGTTTCAGTCCTAACAGCTTATATAATGAACAGATAATGAAGCATTTGACACTTACATATGTAAACCTGATTTCCAGGGCCCATTCTGGAAGTTTATAATTCTTTTGTTTGAATTACCCTAGAATAATGCAAGCTATTTTTATATTTATCAACTTTACAATTAAAGAAATCCACAGACATTTTTGTGGTGTTTAAAAGAGGAACATTTCCTGTGTCTAGCTGAGTTAGTTTTTAGCATAGCTCTCTGAGAAGTATTAACTGCATTTTTGCTCACTCATCTGTTAAGATTTATTATAATTCTTCCTTGTGTCTAGATGGGGAATATGGGAGAGAACTGGGGTTTTATTTCCACCCATTCTTATAAAATTATGTATACATCGTTATAAGCTTATCGTGGGGCTTTTGTGGAACAATAGTCAAATTGATTAAAACTTTTAGGGAAGTTATTTGCAATTGGGCGAGGAGATGTTTGTTATCAAATTTAATCTGTGGTATTTGGGAGGGTTGGGGTTTATTTATTTATTACTTTTTCTATCATGTTGAAATCTTAGCATAGGGTTGGTTTAATTTAATAAAATAAGAGTAATGTTGTAGAACATGTAAGTTATATGTATCCTAAAGAAGCACTTGGTCTGTTTTTTCTGCCTCTGTGAAAGAATGGGCCCTTAGTAAAGATTCTGGAATTGTTCTAAGCAGTATATGAAGAAGGCATAATTAAAGGTGTATGTTTTGTATCTTTTTGAACATGTACAGGTCACTATCTTATTAACATCTGTGCTTTGCTGTTTGAGTGGTCCAATAGCCAAGCAAGTGCACATGCGAACCACAGCCATCTGTGTGTAACAGGATGACGAGTATGTTTGTAATATTTGGTAAAATGGTACCAGTGCTTTACTTTCTTACCTTATATTTCCCTGGAGCCAAACAGCTGTGTAAATAAAAGATTTTGCTCTGAGAAGCTTTGGGTCTGACTGTTGATACAGTATTAAGATCCAAAGGTGCTGGACTCATTTCCAAACATCATGCATTTATTTCAAGAGTTTAACATTGGAGCAGGCCATAATATAATGACTTATTATTTTTCGAGTTGTACTTCCTTCAAAATAGCGCCATTAAAAAGTAATAATAAATAATAATGAAGGCTTTCAGATATTGCTATACCAATGACTTTAGTTGAACACTTGTTCCTATTAATGATTAAGGAATTATTCAATAATGCTATTGAAGTTGATTCCTACTAACTTGTCAAAATATTATTCTACATTAAAATGGATATTGATTTTTTTCTTTTTAAAAAGAAATTTCCTGTAACTGAGACATATTAAAGAATATGTGTTGGGACAGCTCTGATGATTCCCAGGCCCTGTTTTTTTTGTGCTGGGATATAGCAATGAATGAGATAAAGTGCCTGCCCACCTGGAGCTTGCCTTCCAGTGGTGAAGACAGACAACAGTGCACTGAAGAAAAATAACACAGTACAAAGAGGCTACAGCAGATCAGGGTTCTCCTGGAGCAGATATCTCAGAAGTTATAATCTCAGATTCATATGGGCTTTAACAGTGGCAAGTTGAAAGCTGAAGTTCACAGTTCTTTATTTAATTCAGTGAGTATGCATTGAATGTTTTAGGTACATAATGCTGTGCTGTATTTATTGGGAATCAACCCCAGCTCATATGTAGTTAATTTAATTTCTGTGACACGAAGAGAGAACAGGAATTTATGTCTCTTGGAAGCAGACTCATGTACAAAACACATTTAAAGAAAAGAGTAAAATTAGTACCAGAGATTAAAAAAACAACTTAACTGAAAAGCAAAAATGGATTGGTTAAATAAACCTGAAGCTTCTGACAAGGATCTAAGATTCAGAAAGTAAAAGATTACTTTGATGAGATGGGTTTTTTTGAATTGTGGTAAAATACTCATAAATTCACCATCTTACATTTTTAAGTGTGCAGTTCAGAAGTGTTAAGTACATCCATATTGTGTAGCCAATCTCCAGGACTCTTTTCATCTTGCAAAGCTGATTTTTTAAAAAATTCTTTCAAAAATCCCAGAGGTGGGATGTTTTGAGATAGTTACAGACATGAAATCAACATGACAGTCTGTCAGTTTTTATTGAGTAAGATGGGAGGTTGGGAAGAGGCCTAGGGCATTCATATTTTCTCTTGAGACGGTAGTTTAATTTAATTGACCATTACAACTAGGCATTGAAGGATTTTACAATTTCTGCCTAAAAAAGCTCAAACAAATTTAATAACATGCTATTGAACAGCTAACTGAAATTGTATAGCTTTGGGAGTTTGTATTAAGTTACTTTGAAGATAATTCATTATCTTTTTTATAGCATACCTAGGAATTGACTGAAAAGGCATCTGTTATATAATCTTGGTTGTACACATAGTTTTAGGAATTTGGGAAATTCTTCTTTAGTTGATAAAAGGAAGTAGAGCGTCCTACTCCCTTTTTTTAAAATTCAGTTCCTTGTACTATCTTCCCGAGTGTTGTGACTAATATATCCTTTGTTGAAAAAAAAAATCACCAAAATATCAAAGTCTATGTGTACTCAAGTTATTAAACAATGTCCAAAAGGCATCTGTTATATAATCTTGGTTGTACACATAGTTTTAGGAATTTGGGAAATTCTTCTTTAGTTGATAAAAGGAAGTAGAGTGTCCTACTCCCTTTTTTTAAAATTCAGTTCCTTGTACTATCTTCCCGAGTGTTGTGACTAATATATCCTTTGCTGAAAAAAAAAATCACCAAAATATCAAAGTCTATGTGTACTCAAGTTATTAAACAATGTCCAGCAGTTTTTTTCAACAGATATTTTGAAAAGTTTTTTTTTCCAGTAAAGTAAATTTTTATTAAGCATTAGATCCTTCTGAAGGAACAGACATAAGTATAACAAATGTAAGATAAAACATGTTTGACCTCAAGTCTCCTTGGACAGATATAACTGGTTGATAAGTGACAGTGGAGATAGAAGAACTTAAAAGACATACGGATGTGCAGGCTCTATGTATCTTTTCATTTTACAGGTCTCTTGTGTAAAGCTTTTATTAGGTTTCCATAGGCTAGGAGCTAGTCTGTACAAATCTAGCATTGTAAAATAGATGTTAATTACATACTTTATATATAATGTTTTAGAAGATTTGCTACACCAGAAATCATGGTCATCTTTGAAATGCCCTAGAACAGTGATTATTAATGGATAAACATAATCACCTGTGGATCTTAAGAAATACAGATGTCCAGGCTCTATCCCCATTGATTCTGATTAGATCTCAGGTAGAGCCTAGACACATAACTTTTTAAAAAATAAAGCTCCATGAAGGATTATAACGAAAATTACCAATTGAGAACCTCTGTAGAGAAATACCAACTTTATTATGAGCCTTAAATAATAATGAAGAATTAATTTTCAGTTCTTAAATTTAGAAAATTTTTAATTTCTATATTCTTTTTTAAGATTGTTTTTGAAGTTCTGTCTATTGAGGTAGACAGATTATTGATAAAAGGCAAATTTATGCAGTTCTACTACATATCACTGAGGTGGAAAAATATAACTGCTCATTCATATGAGAATTTTAAAGAGTTGCATCCTACTTTTAACTTAGGCAAATCCAGCTCTCAGCACTTAGCAAATTTACTGAAGAACTACTATATGGATCCCACACAGAAGTCAGCTATTTCATTTAGTGTCAACTAAAGATATGGTAATCTGTTCCAAAGTTGGAAGAAAAACTATATTGGACTTATTAAGAAATGTACTGTATACCTAAAGCTAGTATACAGGAATTTAAGGACAATTTAAAGAATTTTGAGAGTAATATCAACTCTATATAATGTAATATAATCTACGTAGTAAAACGCAAGTTCGTATTGTTAAAAGTAAAAATGTAGTCAAATTTACTCATATATACTACTGGCAAGCCACCCAAAAAATTAATCATATATCATCTTGTGCTTTGGTTATTTTGTCATCAAATTATTTTTTTCTTTCTAGAAATTAAGAAGCCACCATTGGCCCCCAAGCCAAAGTTTGTGGTGGCAAATAATAAGCCATCTCCGCCTCCTGTTGCACCTAAACCCGACGTTGTGATTTCTAGTGTTCCACAGTCAACAAAGAAAACCAAACCAGCAATAGCCCCGAAACCAAAAGTTCTGAAGAATGCACCTGTTCAAGACATTGAGCAGTTACCATCGAGGAAAATCACCTCAACCCTGGAAGAGCATAAACAGGAATTACCTGAAAGCACTGACAACTTTACTTGCAAGAATGTAGGGGAACAGAGCAACAATTATATTTTACCAATGTGTCCTGACAGTTCCGAGTGTATTCATAAGCTTGGGAAGAGAGACAATTTGTGTGTAAAGCAGCTTGTTTTAGAGCCCCTAGAAACGAATGAAAATTTAGAAAATAGTAAACTTGATGAGTCCTCTTTGACTATAAAAACTAGGAGTAAATGTGTTTCTCATGGTGAAAAGGTCAGGAACCAGACTGGTGCAGTTTTAAAGGCAAGCGTCCTAGAAGAAAAACTCAAAAATGTTTTAACTCAACGAACATCAACTTTTTGTTCCCTACAGAAGCACAGATCCACAGACAACCCAGAAATGAATTGTGGCTGTAATCCTAACAGACAAGTCAGAATTGAATTTTCAGATTTGTCACCTTCCCTATCCAGCTTTGAAAAGTTTCCTGATCATCTCAATTGCCATGTACAGCTTCCTAATGAATTTCAGAATTTTGAAACCTGTCAAGATGGCAGTGAAAAAAGCATTAGTTACTTTCATTCATCTGAACTACAAGACCTGGAAAATGGTAAAAGGAGTACTTTTATATCTTCAGATGGAGTTGGCAAGAAATCAGAAGTCAAAGACCTCGGTCCCTTAGAAATTCACTTAGTACCATATACCCCCAGATTCCCAACTCCCAAGCCCAGAAAGACACACACTGCTCGTCTGTTACGCCAAAAATATGTAGATACTCCTAGTGAAAGTACTGAAGAACCAGACAATTCAGAAAGTAGCTCCTCTTGTCTTAACAAAGACAGTTTGAAAAACAGTAAAATCAGTGTTCTTCATCACAGTGTTTTGTGTAACCAGGAACAGGTGGGCAAAGTGAAGCCAGGAAATAAAAGTGATTTGAATATGGACCCCAGCAGTGACAGGCAGGACCTGGTCAATTCACAGAAAGCTGTGTGTCATGAAACATCTTCCTCTGAAAAAATGGTACCTTGTTTAGATACAAACTCTAATTTGAGTTCTGACAGCACAACAGTAGATGGTTCTGATATGTCGCTTGCTATGGACACAGAAACCAGTTTTATAAGATGCAGTACTTTATCTATGAGCCTGCCTAAGCAGCTCAAATTAACTTGCAATGAACATTTTCCTACTGCCTGTAAGCTGGGAGTGTCTGCCACTCAAATGCAAAAGGAATCCATAATAAAAGAGGAAAGTTCCTCAAGAATTGTCCCCAAAAAACCTCAGAGACACAGCTTGCCTGCTGCAGGAGTACTTAAAAAGGCTGCCTCCGAGGAGCTTGTGGAGAAAATTTCTCCCTCAACTGAAGAAAAAAATTCAGAGAAGGGCCTAGAAAGAAATCACCCTCAGCATTTGTGTGCTCAAAACCATGGTATGTCATCATCCTTTGATATGCCTAAACGGTCTTCAGAAAAGCCAGTGTGGAAATTACCTCATCCTATTTTACCCTTTTCAGGGAACCCAGAATCCTTGAAGTCTATCACCATATCCTCAAATAGTGAACCTTCAACTTCCCTAACCAAGCCTAGAGCAAAATCATTATCTGCTATGGATATGGAAAGGTGCACTAAATCTTGCAAAGATACTTCAAAGAAAAATTCTTTAAAGAAGTTGCTCCATGTGAAACTGTCCATCTGTTTCATGAAGAGTGACTTTCAGAAATTTTGGTCCAAGAGTAGCCATCCCGGAGACACAACCACAGGCAGCTTCTCTGGTGGGGAGCGGAAAGGCATTGAAAATGATTGGCATGGCTTGTTGGCAAAGGAAGAGAAGAGAAGTAAACCCATCAAGGCATATTCTGCAGATAACTGCAGCCTGGAATCTCAAAAGAAGAGGAAGAAGTTTCGAGGGCTGACCAGTGCAGCTAATGGACTAAGAGCTGAGTCTTTAGATGACCAAATGCTCTCCAGGGAGTCATCACCTCAGGCGCCTTGCAAGTCTGCTACAAGTGGCTGTGCACCAGAATATGAAAATATACGCCATTATGAGGAAATACCGGAGTATGAGAACTTGCCGTTTATTATGGCTGGAAGGAAAACTCCAGAGTTAGAATGGCACAATTCCAGCAGCATGGAGGACACTGATGCAAATGTGTATGAGGTAGAAGAGCCATATGAAGCTCCAGATGGCCAGCTGCAACTTGGACCCAGACATCAGCATTCCAGGTAACACTTCGGTGCCCACAGACACTGCACCATTTCATGCATATTGCAGTTAACCTTTGACAACCCTGTGAGATAGGTATACAGGGGGAGAAAAATCACTTGGTGAGGGAGTGGTTTAGAAAACATTAAATTATTTCCAGGTGCAGCCTCCTTTTATCAGTCAGAGTGGGTATTTGCAGTGCAAGCTTGGAGTAATCGACTTATTTTAGTAGCTAATTCAAAGAATTCAAACCAGTAGCAGTGTAGGTACTACAAGGAAGGCCTGGAACAGAGGTTCCAGAGCGGTTCCTGGGCCTCCAAGAACCAGCTCAGAAATCACAGCAGGGAAACTGGGGCAGGAAATTGGCCAATTCAATGAGGTTTATTTGCTAGCTGTAAGAAATCTGAAGGTGTTGAAATCCATGCATTTACCTGTGGTGGTCCCCTTGTCAGCTGAAACCTCTAAATTTGCAGAGGTTACCATTCTTTGAGGATTAGTTATTTTAACTTGTTGAAGGCTAATTGCTGACCTCAGATGGATGTAGGAAAAATGCAGGAAACACCTATTCCTCCTTTCTCACATTTGTATATGAACTTCTGTTCCTCCTACTGAACTTTTGCCCATTCTTGACAGTCCAGCTCCTCAATCATTGGCTTCATGAACCTTCTATACTTACCTAGTGGGAAGTATTTACTTTTTGTTCTGACCCCTTCACTTACGTTGTGATGATATCCTTACCTTTATCTGTCTGTCTTAATGGAGTGTCTTATGTTCTGTATTTGATTTTAAGCTCCTGAAGTGTTCTAGTCATATCTTTTTAGCCAGTATGACGCCAAGCAAGGGGCCTAGCATGTGATCTCACTTACGTTGTGATGATATCCTTACCTTTATCTGTCTGTCTTAATGGAGTGTCTTATGTTCTGTATTTGATTTTAAGCTCCTTAAGTGTTCTAGTCATATCTTTTTAGCCAGTATGACGCCAAGCAAGGGGCCTAGCATGTGATCAGTAGATGTTGGTTGGGTATAGGAGAGAATACATGAAAAAGAGGCAAAGGAAACAACCACTGCAGCTGCTGCCTTCTGTCTTCATAGTCACAGAGGCAGCCTTTGCATTGTAATTCAAGTGTTATGTGTTTAACAAGAAACTGCATACAGGGGCTGGCTGGTTCGCTCAGTTGGCTAGCGCATGGTGCTGATAATACTAAGGTCCAGGGTTCGATCCTTGTACCTGCCAGCCACCAAAAAAAAAAAAAAAAAAACCGCATAGACCCTTTTTGAAGTCTTCAGATTATTCTCCGGCCACTAACTTCAGGCCTTTGATTACTCAGGTCTTAAAATGTGACTTTTGTAGAAATACTAACATATCCGGCACATAGTGGAGGCTAGAAAGAAAAAAACATTAGTGGACGAATGGAATAAATAAAATCATCAGGTAAGTCAGTGCACCAAGTAAAATAAATTGTTTTATGTTCTTTTAACTTTCACATGCTCTCAGCATTTTTCTTTACTCATAATCCTCTTTGCTCTTCTTCCCTTTACCTATAAAAGGCTACTTACCTTCCTGGCCTAGTTTTTCCCATAGCTGACTGTTATGGCCAACGTCCAATGGGTAAAAGAAATTTGCCCACGAGAACCGGGTCATAGGAAAGGGAAAAAAGTTTATTTCTGGCAGTCAGGGCTACGCAGGCCAATCGAGAAGCGCAGCCCCGAGTTGAAACCTGTCGTAGCTTTTATTTTTAGCTAGGCGGGAATTTCTCACACCTGACACAATCTAGCCAATGCAAGCAAGCCAGCGATACATAAGCTAATTTTGTGGGTAGCCCTGTAGCCCCTCCCCACCCTGGATTCCCCATAGGGACTTTCCAGGCTAAAATGGCAGAGCCACCTAAAATGGCGTTGGCCATGCTACTCTGTTTATTCCCCCATTTATTTTAGCAAGCGATTTGTACAGAAGCAGAATGCATATGTTAAGGTCAGTAGGGGTTGGGGCGTCCCTTAACATGACTCCATTCTGTTTACATCTGTCTACTCCCTGAATGTTAGTACCTAGGCAAAGCCACTTCCTTGGCATAAATATTTCAACAGAGAATTGGAGTTAAATATCCAACTATTTTTTATTTATTTATTTTTTTCCTTTTTGTCTTTTTTCGTGACCGGTAACGGGATCAGCAACCCTCAGTGTCACGCCCATACCGCGACCGGCAACGGGATCGCAACCCTCGGTGTCGCACCCGCACCACTCTCAACCTTTTTGTCTTTTTTCGTGACCGGTAACGGGATCAGCAACCCTCAGTGTCGCGCCCATACCGCGACCGGCAACGGGATCGCAACCCTCGGTGTCGCACCCGCACCACTCTCAACCAGTGAGCGGACCGGTCTCTATATGGGATCTGAACCCTCAGTGGGAGCGCCGTACTCTACCGAGTGTGCCACCGGGCCAGCCCTCCAACTATTTTTTAAAAATTATCTGTTTTCATGTGCGCTCTCCCTGAAACAATTTTATTGTGCTGTCCTCTTTTTAACATGCTTTTGCACGTGTGTGTGTGTGTGTGTGTGTGTGTGTGTGTGTGTGTAATGAATTTGGTTGGCTTCTTCACGACATACTGCTATCCTTGGCTAAGGTAAAAATTTTTCTTGGAATTGGAGGTTTGTTGATGGGGGTAAGTTTTCTGTTGGTCGATAGGTTTAAATCCCAAGGGTTTGCCACTATTTCTGACCGAGGCTCTTCACTTTGGAACTTTTTCTATATCTGGTATGCTTCTTATACACTTAGGGCCTTGCTACTCGGGTGAGGGGAACCAGAAGAGGTTAATGTACACAGCTAGCCAGTACAGCTGGACAGCATTCATGAGGAGGGTTCTTTCTAGAGGCTGCAGGAAACCAAGGGTGGTTTTGGACAGGCTGCATGTCAAGTAGGGCAGCCTGGTGAATGGTGGGTGAGCTCTGCTTTTGAATTTCGCTTTCCATACAGATTTTCATTTAACCCTGGAGCAGAGATCTCTAAACAGGCTTGAGACTCTTAAAATGTGCCAGCTCCATTAAAAGCCTTCAGTCGTAGGGTCAGACCCACACTGTTGCCTGGGAGGTTGTTCCTTCTGTGATCAACATTGAATAGATGGAGAAAACAAAATCCAAGCCTTTATGAGGAGGACACCTGGACACCCTGAAATAAAGTAAATGAGCAGTGGGGCCTTCATTTCAGGTGATCCACATGGAAATCCTGTTTGGTAGTCTGGCTGTTTAAAATATAGACCTGCTCCTTGGAATAATTCAAAATCCAACACCCTGCCTTGGGCTCTAAAATGATAAGAACGTCAATGAACCCTATATAAGATTTTTCTGCTGTAGTCATTAGAAGAATGTCTTTAACGATTTCTCAATCCTCATGAAAGTGAGTCCAGATCAGGACACTAGTTCACAAAAAATCATTAGTTTAACAGAATCTCTACTTGTATAACCAGCCAAATTCTGGATTAGTAAACACATCTGGCAAGCTTAGGGGTAGCCCACATGGTCATCTTCTTTAGAATATAGATATTTCATAAATCCAACAGCTTAACATTTACAAATTTATAATGACATGTTTATAATTTATCATGAAATAATTGTAGACAGTTCCTAATTCTAAATACGGTTCATGATGATTTGGAACTCAAAGTATATTTCCCAAAGAAACATTTTTGGAATGGTGGTAAAGATCTCAGTTTAGCTCTCAGATTATATTAACCCTACTGTCCTGGCCTCCCTCCCTGCCCCCAGGCAAATTCTCCTGACCCTGTGATGGAGGCTGGGGCCTTGGCTTCCTGGGGTTGAACACTAGGGATCTCAGAGCAGCAAATGCACAGGGCCTAAAGCAGCAGGGTTCCTGGAAAGGGTGAGGTAACTAAGGAAAAATGAGGAAATTGGGGGCAGGGCGTGCTTGGAGAAAGACTGTAAAGCATTGGGAGTGATAAAGAGAAGGGAAGGGTGGGGTGGTTGGGAATTGGTAGACCCTGAATTTCTTTACCTCCTTTTCTCCTTATTATTCCTATCCCTTCCCTTGTTTCCTCCCCAGTCTCCTTTGCTAACTGCAAGATTCTATTAGTTGAGTTTCTGACCCCAGGCAAGAGTGTGTAGAAGAAACTGGGGTGAGGAGGGGTAAGGAGTGGCAAATCTGAAGGTTAAGGAGGTGGAAGGAGACTTCCCTTAACCACAGTAGCTTTTGGTGTTCCGAAATAAGTCACCATTTAGTCACTGCTCCAGGTTCTCAACAGCAGTTTCGTTGGTAGTAAGATCATGAGTCAGTCTGGAGTATTCCAGTGTGTTTCTTCCCTAAAGTGTTTCAGACTATAAACCTAAAACTAGCAGGCAGCGGGCCTGTGTCACTGGTATGCATGTACTCGTGGACTGTTACTTTTACTTAAGTCATTTGATTTTCATGGAGAAGTTCCTAAAATTAAGGCTTTTGATATTAAAGGGTTATAGACAAATCAGCACAATAACAGTGTCCAAATGTTGGAATTTTCCTCTTGAAATTGAGGCAGATTTCTTAGTTCTGTAAAGAAGAAAACTTTCCCTGGGAACATTCCAGGTTTTTCCTGTGTTGTTTTAGTTTGTTCTTGTTAAAGCACTTCAAAGAAAAAGTATGATAATTGGGTTTTCCTAAGTAACCAAGCAAACCCTCAATTTATTTATTCCGCAGATATTGACCATGTGTCAAGCAGTGCACATTCAAAGGTGAAAAGGGGTGCCTACTCCCAAGGAATTTCTGCCCAGTGAGGTGACAGTTATAGTACAACGTGGTTTTATTAATCCAAACTTTGCCTGAGTTGTACCCTGAGTAGAGTATTAAGGACAACTTCACGGATGTGGTAACACTTGAGCCAAGGTTTTCTAAAAGGACATGATTGGATTTGGCATTTAGGGGCTTGTTTTCTAACCTTGGTAAGAGCAGTTTTGGTGATGTTTTGGGGGGAAAAGCCAGATTGCAAACTGAGAAGAGAGGAAGTGGAATCAGAAGTATGGATTGCTGTCCATTGAA